AGAATCTTTGGAATAGGAATCAAACTAAGGGTCTTTGTGTTCATGCGCTCTCGATCCCGTCACAACCTAATTCATATGAAAAGGTTGCGGTCAGGTGCAATGCAATGTAGGTATTATGTTGCATTTTTGATAAATACCGTATTTTCTTCTCTGTACAACAGAGAATTCTCGGAAATAATATTTTCCTGCTCCTGGCCAACAGCTTATACTTATTATTTACATAAGCTATATCAGGTATTCGTTTGTGGAGACTGTAGTGCATTAATCTAGCAGGAATGCGACTACTCCGCTCTCACGAGCATGTTTGCAAACTTGTGCAGTACCATAGAATGATGGTGATTTACTCTTCAAAAACATTTCCCCCAAAGCTTAGCTACCGTGATCCACACAACTTTTATGAAGTCTCTCATGATCCGATTCGCTTCGTTTGCCATTTCCGCTTTGAGACACTACACGTCATATTCATTAAATAATTTCCAGTTATTTCGTTTGACGAGAGGTTGTTGTTAGTAATTCATAAATGCCCGAGCATTGTTTTCTTCTTCGAAGAGCTATTGTCTCTTCGAACCTAATCCCATTTGATTCCCGTTAGGTCCATTTGAAGCAATGCAGCGGCCGAAGCAGGTATAAAAACGAATTCCATCAAGACGACAATGGTTGCGTCGGGTTGCGTAATTGGTTATTTCTGCACACTGGACGAGACAACCGTTAGACTAGTAGACAGCTTCTGCCACCTAAATTCTGCCAAGCAACCAGCCAAACGGGCAGGGCTAAGATCAAATGTATCCACAGGTCAAATAGGCGCATCACCTTCGCCATGCATATATGGACTCTTCCAATGGAATGGAAAACTCTTAAGCCTACCGTCGACTGCACTTCGTTATGGTCATTTGCTCTTAGAAAATACACGTCGCCTACTATTTTTGGACCGATTATATTTGGCTCTTATTCTCCAAATTCTTTTATTTCTATCGTATTTCTAATTCAGAGGCCTTAGCGAAGTAGGCGCTGACAGCTATGCTGACACTTATTTGCTGTCATAGATATCTACAGTATGCAGGAATTGAATTCAGGCCCACTCAACGGTCATTCGTTTGAACCTCGTACTACATTTGCAAACCCGGACAACTCCTAGGCCTTGTGTCCTTTGGAGGGTCCTAAAGTTATCGAAATCAGTCAACACAGACGTGCTTTGCCAATGTTCCTCTCGACCCTTGTTGCACTTCATTAGACCTTATTGATATTTTCGTTCA